TATAAAAGTTAGACGAATAATAAAATGTTTTTGTAAAGTAATATGTTTTTCGTGTGATATGTGATTTTCTTCTTTTTTTTTTCTCAAGCGTATTTGAGGATCTAAAACCTGTTGCTTGGTCGCGTTAGTAAAAAAGGGGTAGTGGAATGAAAAAAAAGTTGGAAAGTACGAAAAAATCCTTTCCTGTATTGATCGATCTAAATATGCAATCGGGGAACCTCGTCTACGAGTTGTTCATTGTTTTTTTTTTTTTTTTCTACATTTGGGAGTAAAAAAAGAATATGCGTCGTGAGGGCATCGATGTCGCCGCACGTTTCGATTTTTTTTTGTGTTTCTTTTCTTTCTCGTCGCGTAATATAACATTTTATTGCATGCAAACCATGTTTTTTCCTCATGCTATTCGTTATTTCATTTTCTGGGTCTAATTCTTTCTAAATCTGGGGACGTATAAAGAAGCGAAGTGATACTTTAAGTGACTTTTTTTTTTTGCTTTCATATTTTTCGTACGTTGTTTGCCAATTGGAAAAAGAAACTTGCGAGGAAGTTTGTTTGTCTTTCTTTTGTTCTTTTTTGTTTCGAATCGGTGGAACGTTTTCTCTCAATTCACTTCTTTCGACCCTCTTCGTCTATTATTTCCTTTTCTCTAACTCTACCAAGTGTAACGTTTTCCACTTGCCATCTGTGTTCTCCTTTTAGCTTTTACATTTAAAATACCATATCTCGATACACTTCTACGACGTTACATTTTAAATATAGTTAACTGCGTTTGAAATCGAGTCGCAGGGAATTCAGGGAGAAGTAACTTCGTACCATTGCCCATAATATTGTATACTTTCGTCTATTCTGAGAGGACAACTAATCGATCGTTATTAACCCCTGATCTTCGTTTTCTTTCGTGTTTTGTTTTTTTCTTTTCGTTTATCTGGTTCGTTCGTTCGTCTTTGTTTTTTTTCCTGCTTCTCTGTTCACACGCGCAACTCGGTTCTTAGTTTTTTTCTTAGGTAATGTGATCGTCGAACGTATTCAACTGGAACCACGAGAAAAAAAAATCTTCTCTACTGGAAGAAATTTAACGATAACCTTCAAACGTGCATCTTTTACCATTTGTTACATTGTTCAATTTTTGCGGTCTAAAAAATATAGAAAAAAAAATTTGTTCTTTTTTATAACTCTTGTCTGTTTACACTGAAACGTGTTGTCATTTTTAGCCCAGCTATTTTTACCCGTTATATTTCTTCCAATGAGCGTACAGTAAATTTGGGAATTCCATAAAGCTTGTTCAAACATTCAATAATTGTTTCTTCAAATACTGTTCAATGGACACGTAACTCTTCGTATTTGTCTACTGTTAATTTCATACCTCGTGGTTCATTTGTTTGACAATCATATGATAATAGATTTACTGGAACGATTATCTATTTCTAAATATATATTATATATGCGTATAAGTATATATTGTCGGA